GAGTTACTCTCAATTCATAAGGCACAGTGCATGATCAGGGCACAGAATTATTTAATTAAAATGTAAGTGTTCTTTCTTTGTAAATTCAGCCTCACTAATACTAATAAGAATGTAAGCCTGAAGCTTTGAAGAGCATGTAATAAAGTAGAATAAAATTATTTACCATTATTTAAGAAACACTGTGCAAACCTTTTTTCCAGAAGTTTTTTTTAATAATTCAATACATTTATTAATCCTATTGCCCCAGGTATTCTTCACTGCGCATGACACAAGGTTTTAGTGTCTTACATTCAAAATTCTATCAAACTATTTTTTGTTTATATTATACCAATTAGAAGAGCATAAGATATTAGCTAATAATCTGTATTTTAATAGTATACAAGTTTTAAGTTCTTAATTCTAGAAGGCAATATTTTAAAAAATCCTGAATTTTCACTAGTTTGACCCATGTGACACATTTTCTCTTAGCGTGTCATCCCTATTTTATTCACCAACCCTCGAAAAAGTATGAAATTAAACGTAAATTACTCTCTGTAAAATCGTTATTGCCCAGACAAACCATAATTTTTATAGTTTTCAATTTTGCTTGGTTACAGAGCTAACGAATAGAAAATCAGACCCCTCCTGCCACACCCACCTGTCACATCCCTCTCTTTCACAATTCATTGAATGTTCTCTCTTACGTTTCATTATATATTACCTATAACCAATAGAAAGTCAAGGTTTTCATCTATCAAATGGCGTATTGTATAACATTGTGTTCTGAACAGATAACGTCAATTTCACTCGGAATAGCAACATTGTTCCTGTGGGAAAGTTAACAACCAGCTTGGATGAATTTGTAACAGCTTTTGTCACATAGTTAGAAAGCCAGGAAAATTTTTAGAAGAAAGTGAATTTGTCTACTTTTTGCATGTTATTAGCCCATATTCCTTGGTGTATTACTTAATTAAGTAAAAATTATTAAGTGCTTTACTATAATGACTAAAAAAAATAAGGCTTAACTTTCTTGGACAATGGAGGGCAAGAAAAAAGAAGATTGGGTAAGTACTCTATTTCTTGTCTTTCATATTTATTCTTTACTTATTATTATAAAAGTAACTAAAATTAAATGTACGGGTCTTTTTAAGTTATTTAAGATTAGGTAAAATAAGTAATAATAATAATAATATAATTAAAATGGTTCACCAGGCAGCACTCGAGCAGCTCGTGGGTAATATAATTCGATAGCATAACGTGAACTGCACGTTCCCTGAGTGATTTACAACTTATAATGGCGGGGATGGCAGTTAGACACGGTTCAAAGGGACAATAAAA